GTCGGTGAAACTCCGACGAAACAGTTTGTCACAGCCCCTCGTTTGTTGTCCTCTTCTCTCTCTCTGCCTACGGTTTACCGGGCAGTTCTGTTTGTGACGATATATATATAGAGAGAGTCAAATATATATCGATATAGATAGGGTTCATCCTCCTGACGAGTCGGTGAAACTCCGACGAAACAGTTGGTCACAGCCCCTCGTTTGTTGTCCTCTTCTCCCTCTCTGCCTACGGTTTACCGTAGGCAGCTCTGTATGACGATATATAGGGAAATCTAGGACATGATCTGTTTTATTTGAATTTAGGTGTCATCACTGGAGAGATGTTGGGTCGTAGTCTTCCATCTAGTCTATCATCATATCATGGTGCTCATCAGGGTAGCCTGAATTGTCTTGAGTAAACGGAGCTATTGCTTCCTGAAGCTGAAGCCGGGTAATGGCATGGCACTGGTTTCATCTCTGTATTCCGTTTGTAATCCAATTATAAAGCCTTGGGCACTGGGTCCGTTATCTCAGGGGAAAAAATAAAATAAAATAAAATAAAATAGATTGACGTCCTGCTGTTCACATTGGCTTAAGTGGATGCGTAATAGGCCAACGGCTCGGGTGTTACGTGAGAGAGCTGGGTAATCTGGTCTTGTTCCCCTTTTTACAAGTGTACATTGGGGGTCCGATGAGGGATCTGGTCTTGTTCCCCTTTTCACAAGTGTACATTGGGGGTCCGATGGGGGATATGCTCCTACCAACCCCAGCAGCAGGATCCCCGCCCCCAGGATGTTTCTCAAAAAAAAAGAAGTGATTGGATGGCTTGTTGGTGGCATTGTCGTTCAGATCTTCGTGATTATAGAGATTGCACATGAGGAATGGTTCACTCTTTTCTCCCTCCTGATAAGATTCTGACTCGGACGCCTGATTCATTGTTTTTTTTTTCTTTTTTGCCTGATTCATTGTTTCATATGGTAGATGAGTGTGCAGTGAACCCAGTCAATTTGAAAGCTCGTCACGTCGAAGTACAAGATGTCTCAGCGCAAGTCAATGTCTCCAATAATCATGAATGTGATCCAGAATACAATGTCTCCTAACCAAGGGACGAAGCTGAGAGGTGGGAGATCAGACTTAGAAGGTGGAAGCGAAAGCATCCATCATTGTCATCGAAGATAGAACTCCCTCTGTCCCACTGCTCCTTCGGGCATCTCCCCTGTGTCCACGTCAGCAAACAGTGTCCCAAAGACGAGCCTGTCAAGAACCGACCACAGCATAGTGCCACGTAGGCACAGATCTCCCATGGAAACATCACAGCAGCAGAGCGCAATGTCGCAATGTCCACAGCATCAATCAGGTAAGCTTCCCTCTCTCTCACAACCAATCTCACAGCCGTGATCTCCCTCTTCATGGATACGGTAACCCAATCTGTGTCGAACACAACATGGCAAATGCCTGTGAAACCGCGCGCTGATTGAGCGCGCGGTAGGCGCTAAAGATTTTGAGCGCCGCTCAATCCTGCGCTCAAAGCGCCTTGAGCGGGGTTTGAGCGGAGGCGGGGATTTTTTTTTGGGGGGTAAAAAATGCTCACAAAAAAAAACAAAAAATATAGCTATGTTTTTTATTTTATTTTTTGAAGTTTTGCTATATTTTTGGCCTCATGTACCTTCCTGGGCATGCTTGGCGCCCGCCACCTAGAGATAGACCACTGGATCCCCCCATTGGCATTTAGCAGAGTCTGCTGATGTTCATAGGGGAGGGGCCCTGAGGGGAGGCACAGGGATTGGTCCTGTTGGCATGGTCCCTGATGCTACCGGCTGTCCCCTAGCCGGTATCACCCACCTGCAGGTCGGGAGCAGCCCGCGTGTTCTCTCGTGAACACGGTTCTGGCTGCTACGGGGTTCCCGTATGCCTACAATTAGGAGTAGTGGTAGGTAGGTAGTGTGAGGTGAAATTGAGA